ATTGGCCCTATTTCCTCCACGCTCTAATGGTCTCCGGAGGGGGGCGGCGGGTGCGGCGGCGGCGGTGGAGGAGTGATTTAAGGCGCGCGTGGCGATGCGGCGGGATATATGTGCGTGCTGTCGGCTAATATGTGTAGGCACTGGAGTGTGGTGGATGAAGCCGTGACGCTCCGCCCGGTGATGAATGTCCCTTTGGAGAATACGGGGCTTTATAGGAGCACAGAGGTCTTAAGTGCTTAGTCCATTATAAACTGCTCTATCACGGAGATGGGGGAGCGACGTCCTGTGATTGGTAAAACAAGATCATATTTTTTTTGCCGGCAGGTATAAAAATGGTTCCCCAGGCCCCTTTACACAAAAGTAAAGGACTTTTAAAGAAGCTGTGCCGGATTTTTCAGTAATAAAGTCAAATGTGTCTTGCCACGGTGCAGATAAATTGTAAAAATGGTCTCTGAGAGTTATAAACAGTGTTGGGGAGTAACGGATTACATGTACCGCCGTTACGTAATCAGAGTACAAATTATGAGTAACTGTATTCCGTTACAGTTACTGTTTCAATGAGTGGTAATTGGATTACAGTTACGTTGCTGAAATAAGTGGATTACAAGGCGGTATTTTCCTGTTTTCACATTTTGTGCTACATCCCATTTATTTATTTTTTATTTCGGTAATTCCACTCATTGTTGTTGGAAGCCCAAACAGAACGCGACAGTAAGAGCGATGTAAACGTCATGTTAAAGTTGGCGGTGTCAGTCACACAGTGGAAGCAGCAGTGCATTGGTAAAAACGCATTTGTGTCTTGGAAATTCTTCTCCCGATGTGAGATATATATATTAAAAAAAACAAATATAAAATCGCCTACAACTTAAATGTGAAACAGGAGCTACTGGCACTGGTGAAAACAACCTGCATAGACTCATAATATCTGCACTACTGTCCTATAATGACCTGCCACACATACACACACACAAACACACACAAACACACACAAACACACACAAACACAAACACACACACACACTTCATCATCGTCATCAACCTGAGAACCCGCGGACCACGTCTCCTTCTGTAGTTACAGCGCGGACACCGCCGTCTCGTGCGCCGCGTGTGGACCGTGTTTTCTCGCATAAACCGCGCTTCCTCCTGTGCGCCTCTAAACCAGAACTAACACCAGGACTAAAACAGGACTAAACAGGACTAAACCAGGACAAAAGCAGGACTGAACCAGGTTTAAACTAGGACAAAACCACGACTAAACCAGAACTAAAGACCTGGTCTAAACAGGTCTAAAATCAGGAGTAAACCAGGTCTAAAAATCAGGACTAAACCAGGACTAAACCAGGACTAAACCAGGTCTAAACAACATGACACCTAACAGTAGGTTGACATAATTTAAGGTGATCTCATATAAAAAATAATTTCTCTATCAATAATATGTTTTAATATGATGAAGGAAATACCTTGTTTCTGTCTTTTAACAGACAAAACCTCTTATATTAAGATCTCATGGTCTTTGTTTTTCTACAGCAAACAGTTGCTTATTCATGGAGACTTGGGCTCAGACAATTTGAAGACAACAAACAAGAATTTTCAGGATGTGGTTGCTACATTCATGTCGTTTAAAAAAACATGACAATATCAAGTAATCCAAAGTAATCAGATTACGTTACTCACTTTAAGTAATTTAATGGATTACGTTACAAACTACATTTTGGGGTGTGTAATCTGTAATCTGTAGGGGATTACATTTTAAAAGTCACCTTCCCAACACTGGTTATAAAAAACACTTATAAACTCATTATAGTGAACAATTAGGATGCTCTGAAAATGTAAGGTAAGTGAGGAATAACTCTGGACCATTGTAAACTGTTTAAATGAACTAGTTTTGTTTGGGATAAATCAGGTACAGTGACTTTAACATTATGGAGCACAACTTATTATAACCTGGTGACATCACAAGGTGGAACTGAATGTTGTGAGAGCGAGACAGTATAAATATGCAAGGTTACAAAAGCCTGAGTGACAGAAACAAATCACAGTGTGTCGTGATGAGGAAGCATGTTTTTTTGGCATAATATAGGCGAGTTTCAGCTGACGTCATTGTTATTAAAAGCCCGCGTTGCTGCTGGGAAATATTTTGGTCGAAGGCAAGAAACACGATAGCGTCAAACACAGTGCGTAACCTCGTGTATTTATCCCCGATAATGGTAAATTCCTGCTGCATTATCGGATGCACAAATAGAAGCACAGAAGAAGGTAAATGTCTTTTTCGTATTCTGAGTGAAAAGAACCGCTAACGGTGAATTAAACGTAGAAGATCCTAACAAACCATGGACTCCAACAAGTTCAACAACACATCGAGTCTCTTGGAGGTTTTCATCTTTTCTGCTGTGAATGGCCCAGGAGTTTCCACCAAGTCATTGTGGATATCGCTGAAGTGAAGTGAATATTTGTCCAGGTAGTTGGCGATTCTGACCCGAAATTTGGTTTGGTCCACCTTTTGTCGGGGTTGAAAAGGGTGATTTGGCTCCATCGATGCTTATGACCAACTTCTGGTCCAATCTTCTTGGGTCCTCTGCCGTTAGAGTGGATAAATAACCGGGATCAATACCCTTTACGTGCTTTCTCGCTCTGTCTGTCATGTTGAATTAGTGTTTCTTGCCGCCGACCAAAATAATTCCCAGCATGCAACGCGCGCTTTTGTCAACAATGAAACTCTCCTATAGGACGTTTAAAGGCGCACTGTGTAACTTTTGTGGAGGCTCATCAAGAATCTCGGACTTCCGGTCATTGCGCAATGCATGCTGGGAAGGATTTTCCGAAAAAGTGAGCATCAAACCGCCATGTTTGTTTTCCCAGTGGGACAAGTCTTTTGAGCCATTGACAAGACTTTTGAACCATATCACTTTTGTTTCTGGTTCTGATGTTGTCGTATTTTAGTTCTGGGATTCGGACGTCGTTAATTGTGTGGTTGTTGGATCCTAACAGCGGAAAACGGCTCGAGAAATGTGTTTGCGAACTCCATAACTGCAAAAGGGAATCGGATCTGTGTGACTGCAAACCTCCGTTCAAACTGTTTCCCTTCCCAACGGAACTGAAAAATAGTGAAAGGCGAAGTATTGATCCACGAGAAGGACGAAAAAGGAAACATTTGGCTGCAGCAAACATTTTGTATGTGGAGCGTCATCAAAGCAAAATCCCGATCCCTCACTCAACCTCGGTTATGAATTTAAAAAGTCAACGCCAAAGCGAAAGGCATCAGCTGTTCATAGAGAAACACCTTCCACTGCAAAGAGACCGAGACGTGATGTTGCTGTAAAACCACAAGAACAAGAAAGTGCAGCTCAGCCTGTTTGTCTTCTGCACCTCTCGATTAACAAACAGAATCCCGCTTTGATCCACATGCAAAATGTTCGCTGCGAACTCGGGATGGTTTAGACAGCCAAAGGTTTCCTTTTTGGTCCTTCCTGTGGATCAATCCTGCCCATCGACTTCACCTTTCACTATTTTTCAATTCCGTTGGGAAGAGAAACAGTTTGAACGGAGGTTTGAAGTCACACACATCTGATTCCCTTTTGCATTTATGGAAGTTCACAAACAAATTTCTTGAGCGATTTTCCGCTGTTAGGATCCAACAACCACACAATTACAATGTCCGAATCCCAAAACTAAAATATGACAATATCAGAACCAGAAACAAAAGTGATATGTTTCAAAAGACTTGAAAAGATTGACTTTGTCAATAGACTCATCCCACTGTAAAAACAAACATTGCTTTTTGATGCTCATGGAAAATCCTTCCCAGTATGCATTGCACAATGACCGGAAGTCCGGGATTCTTGATGCGTGTATATGGCAACAAATTTATTTATCTCCATGGAGACAAGCAGGTGAGACCACCAGGCCAAGTTACAGGTCAGATCTGTGAAGAGGCGACTTCACTCACAGTATGTATGTTTTTAAAGAAGGAAAAAAAAACATGAGTAATTGAATTTAATCAAAGTTTGTGTGGCAGGTTTTTATGATTTCCTAATTTAACTTAATGTTACCTGTTACACTAGGAAGAAATCTATCCAAAAGTTGTTTTATTTATCAGAATAACAATTTCTGTGAACATTAGAGGAGCACTCAATGTATACCCGGGTTTTTTGAGTATCCTGGTTACGTGAGTGTTCATGTAAATACAGTATCCTGATTTCAGTTTCCTGGATAAGCCAGTATCCCACCAGGAGACTCTCACTGTTTTTTTTTCCTGAGTGTATCCAGGATACTGTGGCATATACACTCACCACGGGGGTCTTACAGAGCATGTGTGAACTGAAGTAACAGATATGGTAGGAGCATCAACTTTCCCCAGAGGACTCAAACTTCTACCAGGGCTGTTTAAGTAATAATATTTTATACCTGTAAACAAAGTAAAGCAGTGTACTTGTTTAAGACACAGACATTTTTTAAGAAGCTCACCTCTGGCTTTTCGTGTTGCTCTTGAACTGACACTGCGACTTATATTTATGTTAAAAACGCCTTTTACTGAAGCTTCTTACTTGAATTTATATATTTTTTGTTGTTGTTAGAAACCACCTTGCCATTTCTGTATCATAGTTACTATAGCTTACTATGGGGCGTGAACACATGAGTATCCTGGTTTCTCTGAGCACATGTAAACACCATATCCAAAATACTGACATAACTCGAGATAAGGCTCATAATCAGGATATATGTGCAAATGTAAACGCACTCAATTGTAGAATTATAGAATTGTGATGTCATGTTTTTCAACCAGGAAATACAATTTGAAACCTAAAAAATGGCCAAACTGGGAGCGCAAGTGTGGGATTTTTAGCTGAATCTTAAATATAATTATCCTGACTCCCATATGCACTTTAATGTCATTTTGTGGTGGCACCTCCATCCAAGAGAAGCCGTTTTAACTCTTTAATTGAGGACTATTATTCATATGTTAACACACGGTATGTCTGAATATCTTTTCCCTGAACCAGTCGAGCTGTTCTCAGTACGCCGCAGAGAGGAGAGAAGAGGAGGAGCTACACCACCATCTCCTGAACGCCGCCCATCACCGCAACCACGTCACCGCCAACCAGCTCCTGCAGAAGATCATCAACACCCTGACCAACCAGCAGGGGGCCTGGGGGACGCCGGGAAACAGGTAAACCGCGCTCTCTTTCCTGCGGCTTTAAAGGACACATACTACACATTCTTTGTATTTTTAGTGGCCTTTAAACTTGCCCTTGAGCTGTTTTGTCATCTCATGTTTCAGAACTTAAATTATTGACTATAAATGGAACTAGACGTTATTTTTCAGCTTGCATCTACTGACAGCAGAGAGAATTACCGTGGAAAAGCAACTAAACTAGCTGATAACCTACATGCCCAGACGTTATAAGGCTTGTAAATAGCCCAATGATACAGCAGAAAATCTTAAAACCAATTTGTCAATTATTTATGGACTTTTAGCTGCAAGATTTCTACCTGTGATGCAACAATCCTGAGAAAAGCCAAACCGTTATATTATCTGAGGGTCTTGCAACGGAAGGATATTTTTTAAGTGCCATAATTTCTTCCACAAACAACAAAATCTTAAAGTTCAAAACGTTTATTGTCAGTTCTTCATATGAAAAACATATAAAGAATCAAAATTGTGTTTCTCGTTCCCATGCGTATAAATAACAATAAAATCTAATAATAAATCTGTCTTATTCTGCGTAAAAATGGCTAACCTTGTAGTTTAGATCTGTACAAACATGTTCTGAAATGTGATTCTTGTATTTGTTAATTCAGATTTCTTTTTTTTTTTTTTTTTTCAATTCTTCTCGATGCATTTAAAATATTGAACACAATCCTTTTAGTAAAACACAAATTGTAAATCTTTTCATAATCGTAATGCATGTCAGAAAAATCACAAATGGACATTTTTCTCAAATCGTTCAGCTCTACTCCAGATGTATTTTTTACGAGGGAACAGTAGAAAAATAAAAATTCTGTCAACCGAACAAAGGTTTCTGATCGAGCATGTTTCACAGCTCATCCAAGCTGCTTCTTCATTTCTGGTCAGACGCTGGTGGAAACTAGGACTGGGTATCATTAATAAGTTGCCGATACGATACATGCCTCGATACATAGACCACGATACGAAACATGTCTCGATACAGTGAGCTTTCGTTTAGATACGATATATTTCAAAGCGATTTGATACAGTTCAATAAAAAAATCATGGCAAAATCATGGCTGTGATACTAAAAGTCAAAGTTCATATGCAACACAAACATTTTAATCCTCAAAACAGTGAAAATGTCAAATGTGTCGCATAAACGAGTTTCCTTCGTCTGAACAAACAACAAAACTGTAGCACTGTAACAAAATTATTTAGTAAAATATACCAAAAAATACTCTTGCCCATATATTATCAGTCCCCGATATCGATACTATATCATCACAATAAACGATAAAATATCTAAATATCTATATATTGTTGTACACCCCTAGTGGACACTGCCTTACATCTGCATAAAGGGAGGGGCTAACTACACTAAAACTAACGCACCTGCTTGTTCACTAAGTCTGAACTGTGCTTGAGTCATGTTAGCATCACTTTTGTTTTTATTGTTTTGATTTAGATCTGAGGATGGATTTCTAAACAGGAGATAAATTATGTCTAAGTCCCCCATTCCTGTTCAAAGATAGATTGACAAAAAATACCTCTTTACCGTCCCTTTCAAACCATTTCTTTTCTAAAATCTGTACCTCACTATCCTCAAAAGGAGCGGTTACTGGCGATAAAATGTAGATTGCACAGGAGACTGAGGTCCTGTGTTGCGCTCTCGTCTGTGTTGGTACATCCTCTTGTGAAGTCGCTGTTTTGTTTCTCCAGTATAGCACTTATTGCACTGCACAGATTAGACCACATTGCTTTGTTTGTGGCTCGGGGTTTTCACCAACACTAAGTTTCTGTCTTAAAATATGTGTAAATTTGAAAGTTGAAGAGGTTTGTCCAGTCGATAGAACATGAATCCTACCTGGACGACTGAGTGATTACATGAAGATGAGGGAACGATGTTATAAAACGGCTAAAAACTGCATAAACAGCGTCCTTTACACAGAAACCGGCCCGCTCGGAGCAAAGTTACCTGCTCCCAAAGTCAGAGCGTGACGGGATAGGACCAGCGCTTAATGTCATTTTCACAGGGGGTCAGCGGGAGGGTCAGCAAACGCAATTACAGCTGGAGTGGCTTAATCCTCCCGGGACGTGTTGATTGGCCGGTAGTGGGACGGGCCCGGAGCTGGAGGGGAGGAGAGAGAGTGTGTGGGGCGGGGGTGATGCGGGGGTCAGAGGAAGGGTGGGGGTGGGGGGGTCCTGGTACTCGCTGACCCCTGCAGGAACACGGAGGAGGAGGAGGGAGGTGGTAGTAGTTTACAGACCTCCCCGCGGGGCCTGTTAAAATAACCGTAAGCTTTCCAAAGTCCAGCGGTCCAGGGAGAGACGAGGGTCAGGAGGCAGACAGAGCTGTTAGAGGTGATGGGGAAACAGTGGAGCTGAGGGCGAGCTCGTTAGCCGGGTCTGAGCAGAGCAGGAGACACATGTGAACCACAGACTTCGGACTTATTTGAATTGCTGAATAGTCGTCGATGTATAAGACTGTTTTTGCGTAATTGTCCATTGCAATATGTTTGGACTGCAGCAGAAAATTAAGAATATATTGTTAAAAGTTTGAAAGCGTGTTAAAGGTTGTATGGAGGATTTTTTTTATTTGTTTCAAATTGTCAGTGAAAGTTTAAAACACCATTACAGATGCAGCAGCCTTGTAATTATGATGACCAAAAAAAAAAAGAATGAAAATCCATCATCTGTGGACGTGTTGAGGCCAGATAAACATCAGCCAATAGAAAACAAGGCTACTCATTTTCTATTGGCTGTTGGGTTGTTAATCAAACTCCCTACGTTTCTAGCGTCACTGACTCGCCGGTGCACTGGGATTAAGAGGTTTACGTTCGCCTCTCACGCACTGATGCCGTTTACTCGACCAATACAGCGGTTCTTGGGGTCTTTTTCGAAACTGTAGCTTCTCAGTTTGCACAAAGTTTTTTGTAACAGCGGACAAGAATTCATGACCAATTCATCGCAAACGAAAGTCCATTTTTGACGTCGCGGAAAGAAGAGAAGGGGAAAAGGAGCAAAGCACAACATTTGAAAAAGGACACAGTCGCTGCATTTCTCTTTCCTTGGAAAATCTTCTATACAACCTTTAAAAACTGACCACAAGACCTTCTATAATTATATTTAAAACCTTTTTCTGAGACTTTATAAGCTGAATTAAGTCTTTTCTTTGGAATGAATGAGAACGTTTGTGGGTAAAAACATCAAAATATTTTATCGGAAGTGCCTTTTGTTTAGACGGTGGGGCTTAAAAATGCAAAAAATCTGAAACCATCCTCCAGAGTGGAAAAGTTGAACTTGCTCTGCTGTAGCGTTTCCGTCTACACTGCCCAAGACGCAAAACTCTGGTCAGATCTGCTCACGTCACGTACGAGTTTACGTCACTTACACTATTAGGTGCTCTGGATTATAAGACGCACTGTCTTTAAATGGTCTATTTTCGAAACTTTTTTCACAAATAAACCGCACCGGACTTTAAACGAAACACAACAGTGTGATGGGTGAGTGGTTTTGTTTGTTTGTTCGTTCACGGTGACTCTGGGCTTTGTTCAGTTGTGGCGTGTAGGGAGGGTGCTGTCTGGGACCAACGGATTGTCGGCGTGTTCGCAGTGACTCAGTTGTTCAGTCGTGTCTAGAAGTGACACATTACACTCGCTTTTTCTGTTCGTTCCTCCGTTCCGTTCCTCGTCGGCGTGGAGTGATGAGGGTGTTTCTGTGGGTGTTTTTCTCTGTGCGGTCGCTGTCTGCTCTGTGTGTGTATGCGTGTGCTGCGGGTGGTGCTGCTTTGTAGTTTACTGAAGTCGTGCTGGGACACCCCAGTGGATTCGTGTATAGGGCTCTCTTGATTGTGGAGTGCGCAGTCGTTTTTGATCGGGTTGGAGGCTTAAGAGTGCGCCCTATAGTGCGGAAAATACGGTAATATGAGCTGTGTGTTAAAAACTGACCACAAGACCTTCTATAATTATATTTAAAACCTGTTTCTGAGACTTTATGTGGTGATTTAAGTCTTTTCTTTGGAAAGAAGTGTGTTAGCACATACTGAGGGCCTGTTTACATGAGAACGCTTGCGGGTAAAAACGACAAAATATTTTTTCGGAAGTGCCTTTCATTTTTTATTGATGGTGTTTTTGGGGCTTAAAAAGACAAAAATCTAAAACCACCCTCCAGAGTGGAAGAGTTGAATAGTGTTTCCCGTCTACACTGCCCAAGACGCAAAACTCTGGTCAGATCTGCTCACGTCGCGTACGCGTTTACGTCACATACGTCACCACTGAGCCGCCTGGCATGTATACACAGTTGAATTCCACACATTTTTGCGTCAATGTATGCACACAGATTTCCTCCTGAAAACACTTGTCTAAACGAATAAAAAGTGAACAAGCAACGCCACTTTTGCGTCTTCTGTTCAGTATAAACGTAGCCTCAGACTTTTTATTACTATATGTTTTATTTATTTTCTGAGACAGGGACAGTGCACAATACACATTAACCTGAACAGGAGACAGACATTGTACCAGGTTGTAGCACCAGTTCTAATTTCCACTTGTAGTCCCTGGGCAGGTTCATTGATTGATTGTATTTAATTGACCTCAGCTGTTCTTTCTGGAGACCTGTGTAACATGTTTTGGGTTGATGGAGGAACCTGGCAGCCTGATTCATCAGCCAGTTTCAGTTCGTAGAAACCGTGTGACCTCGCAGTGTTAGAATCTGCTCGACGGTAGGCGGGTATTTTTTTTATTTAACCAATCGCTGCTATTTGGTCGTGTCATATGTAATGCGCCACTAATGGGGTTAAGTTGTATATTAAGTTTTTCCCAAATCCCGTAGGAAGAAGGACAATAACGTCTTTCCCCTTGATAAAATTCACCAAACATTCTCTTTGTTCCGGCTTTAAATCCTTGATCTCGGGAATCATTGCCAACACAGATGGGTCTTCACTGATTGGCTGGTGTCCAAACTCACACTTCTGGGTTTTTTTGCAAAACGTCTAGTGT